AACTGGAAACACCATACGGCCGCGCCTTCGCTGACCCCATTGTGGTCGCAGGCCATCTTGAAGCGCGCGAGAAATCCTAGCACCGCGATTGGATCTTGACCACCGAATGTGTGGGTTTTCAGCTGGACGTCCAACTTCTTCCGATATCGGTTAACTCGCCGCGCGGTACTCGCGTCGTAGCGCGCGCTGCGATTTTCCAGCCTATACGTGCGGTAGTCGACGGCCTTGGTGAACAGGTCGTTCAGCGGCCTGATCACCGGCAACCGTTTCGGATCCCGCCTCGGAGCAGACCGGCGGTCTCTGCCCCTGCGATGGCGGTCTCCTTCTCCGCCGGGGCTACTGTAGCCCTCCGGATCGGAGTCTTCTCGCCGGAACCGACGTCGGTCGCGCGCATTGCGGCCTCTGCGGTCGCTTCTGCGCGATCCGTCCGACTCGGTGTCCTCGTCATCGGAGGGGTATCCACCTCCTCCGGCATCGCGGTATCGCGTGTAGCGTCCGTCGCGGTTATCATCGGAGGGGTAACCGACCCCTCCGGCATCGCGGTATCGCGCGTAGCGTCCGTCGCGGTTCTTGCGCGTCGCCCTGTGGCGACGTCTTGTGTCTTCTTCCTCGGAGGGGTTTTCTGTACCCTCCGAGGTGTAACCTTGAGCGCCGGGTGCGCTTCTTCTGCTCGACCGATACGGCTGTCGCTTTTCTGTCGCGAAGCGCCCCAGGCGGTTTTCTGTCCCGCGGGGGCCAGCCGTATCGGCGAGTACGGGAGGGCCATTTTCTGTGGGCCCTCCTGTAGCACCATAAATTGGTGGGAGGTAAATGGTCTTACCCTCCGGGTGAGGGGCCATGGTACCGATCCCGGGTGCGGCGCCGATCGGTTCAGCGTGCGTTAGCGTAGGATCCGGAGCGGTCGAGTCGCGCTGCTCGCGTGCGTCGACTCCTGCTCCGGCGAAGGTCGTGGCCAGACGATTGGCCACGGCGGAGCTGATCGCTCCCTTTAGAGCCGTACCGGACGGGGATTCTTCATCCACAGTGGTGAGCGCGGTCACCACCTCGCATTGGACTTGAGCGGGTAGAAGTTCGTCCAAAAGCGGTGGTATCGCGCTGCGTACGTGCGCGTCCACGAGCGCGGGCACCGTTCGGTCGAGGCATACGCGCGCTACCTGGGGGAGTTCCGTAGCGAGGAACTCCTCGACCCAGGCCTGGATGCGCGGCTGAATCGCGTCGACCATCCATTGGACGCGATTCTCGGTGCCTGCCGACACGGCCGGCGTAACATCCGATGCGGACGCTCGCGTGCGGCCCGGTCGCGGTGGCGGTCGCAGCAGGGCTTCCGGGTTCTCCACGCGGGGGCGCGGTGCGCCACTGCCACTGCGGGTGCTCAGACGCCCGGAGGCGGAGTCTCCCCCTTCTTCCGGTCGGTTCATCGTCGAATACGCTTCGCGATCGACGCGGTGATTTCTCAACCTTTTCCGTCCGTACGGTTCTGCGCGCGATCGAGCGGCCACGCGTGCGGCTCAACCTCGAGAGTTATCCCCTCCACAAGAGTACCAAATGTGGGATAAAACCTCTCCGCCCTGGGTTGGGTGAGAGGCGGAGGCTTGAGCGAGGGAGCACGCGGCGTGGACGCGACGCGCTAATAGAACCGATCGGACGAGCTCGCGAAAAGGGAGTGGCTCACTGGCCGGTTACGCGCAGTCGCCCCGTGGTGCGTAAACGGGAGCGACCGGTAACGGGTTAGAAGCCAGCGCGCGCGGCGGACAACCGAAACGGACGTACGTAGGCGCAAAAGGGACGGGGGCGAGCTTGCCCCCGTTTACTGGTGGGGACGGGTGCCAGGTCTTAACCCCGCAGGGGGACGCCTCGGACACCTGTCCCAGTACAGTAGTACAGTACCTGCCGCCTAGTGCGTGCCGGGTACTGTACACAATTAAAAAACTAGCGCCATAATTGCTACTACCGCACGGCCGCTGCTACTACACGTGTGCACCACTGTACACGCGTGTTGCTTACAGACTACCGCACGGACGACACGTGTGCTAACGTACACGTACGCCAGATTACGACCGCTCGGCATGCGCGCGCGCTCGCTACACGTGGGCACAGCCGCCCACGTGTATACCGTATACGGCCGTCCGGTGACCTCCGCGCGCTCGCGCCGGTCATTATACTACACACACCACGCCCCCCGATGGGAGATGAGCACCGCCTGGACCGGCGGTTACTACTGTAGCAATCGTGCACGCGCCCTCGGAAAGCGTAGTAATACCTCCAGGGCGTACACATGGCATAGCCGTCGACGCCGGTCGTGGCCACGTGCACACGTGTGCGACACCTCCGGCAAGTAATTAGCAATTACTAGTTAATGGCAAAAATTAGCCAATTTAGCACAGTAGCTGGTATAAAGTAAGTAACAGTTACTGTAGCAGGACAGGTGTCCTGGCGTCCCACGTAGGGGTTAGGACCGGGGGCACCTGCCCTGTTCCAGTAAACGGGGGCAGACTGGCCTTCCTTCCCTTTATGGCTAATTGCTATCCCGTTCCGGTTTCCCTTTTAGTCTCAGGCTTCTAGCCCGTCACTAGCCGTCCGGATCTACCACTACTGACCGGCTGCGCGTCACCGGCCACGTGAGCTTTCCCTCTTTTCGAGTCCTTCCGTACGGTTTGCGTTCGCGCGTGGGTTACCCAGCAGCGCGCTCCCTTACTTCTAACCCCCCTCGTTTCCGAGTGGTCGGGACGAAGGTAGTTATACCACAATCCCCTTTAAATGTTGCCGAGATTGGAGATCCCCGGACGGGCATGGTAATATTGCCGATACTGGGAGGGACGAGGATGTGCGAATGAGAAGGGTTGTGGTCTCTCTTGGGAGGTGAGTCGTTGGAAGGGGAAACTTACTGTAAGTACGCATGCGCCGATAGCTAAGGGGATCGATCGAATGCTGCTGAAGAGGCCATCGCCCACCGCATCAGTCACACACACTATTGGATGTGCACACATGAATTACTGTGCGGGACTCTAATTATATTTCCGTCCGCGTGGAGTGTACAAGAAATAGTGTCACACATACTATTGCGGTAGTGACACTAATATTATGGGGAGACTAAATGAGGTAACTGGGTGTACAGAACCCTTGGTACTACCAAACCACACCCGCCCGCCCGCCCGGCACCTCGCTTTAATGTTACCCTTGTGACTTTCACAATGGTGCACAGGTCATTTGTATCATATCGTGCCCACGACCTGCCAAACACTTGGCAGTTTTTGATAATTCTCTCCTTTTTTTGTTGCATTTTTTTGGCACAACAGAGAAATTGCCTTTCCACCACTCAACGTAGGCGAACCCAAATTGACAGCAACTTCTGCGTCATGTCGAGTGTCTGCACGACAAGGGCACGGCAGGGCGACTTTTGCCTCTTATGAGGTCAGGCATGGCCTTATATGAGGCCAGCTTATATATATAAAATTTAAATTAAATCGACATTTTATAAAGTCAGTTCAGACACCATTTCTTTGACGTGCCTTCGGCAATAACATCTTGCAAAACATTGATGGCAAAGCATTGATAGCAGTTTTGAATACACAGAAAGGCCAACAATCCAATGAAGTTTCAATGCGCGGTTGGCATTTGAAACAGGCGTTTTGGTTTCGAAGATATTAACGCATAACCTTGACCTTTGTTAGCAGGTAGTCTACTGCTGTCCACCGCACCGCGCTTTCAGGGGAAACTATAGCTCAAATCCACAAACGACCATCTTCGCGCGTGGAACGGCAAGTCGAACTCCCGCGAGGGATCGGCCGCGAAGGGTACTAGCGAGGTAAAGCTTTAGTGAGAGTGGTGCCAGTGGCGAAAGACGAAGCACCACAACGTACAGTACAGGAGGTACCCGATTTAGTGCCTCTATATATAGTGCATGGCCCGGTTTAGTGCTACTCTAACGGCTCTACACAAAAGTTTTGTGTACTTGTTTATCATACGTTTTGTGACAAAACGTATGATAAACAAGTGCCCCCAGGGCCCATCGAGCGGGTAGAGGATTCAAGTGAAGTCCGAGAGGCCATGGAGACAGAAGCTCTGGAAGATGCGGAGAGAATTATGGAGGAAATGGGTGGGTCTGGGTGTGTTTCATCTGGGCGAACTGAAGCAGAGCATACAGATACAGTGATGGAGGAGATTTCTAATGCTAGTCAGTCTCGTTCTCTCTCCTTGATCCAAGCAGCGAATGATTTCTCTAAAGGGTCATTCTGAGATTGGGAGGGGGACAAGGTCAAAATTTTTCGGTGTCAGGGGGGGACACATGATATTGTATCGATACAGTAGGAGACAGGTGTATCTACTGATTGCAGCATTAAGCCTTCTCAAAATTAGAGGCGGCAGCGGTAGCGGTAGCTCTCTCGCTACCTGATGCGTCTTCACATTTGCGCAAGGCCAGACGGGTCATATTAGAGGCTCTCAGGCCACAGAACAAGCACAAACAGACGACCTTGACGGGTTTTCCTTCGTTAAATACAGTCTTCTTGCTAAGTTACCATTCTTGTGCCAAACCCGATTTAGTGCCTATTTTATCACGCTACAGGGGGTAGCACTAAATAGGATACCCCCCTGGTAGTCGTACTACAGTACTGTCTTTACTTAAAAATTGCAGACAAGATGCTTCGTCGGCTAATCGCGATCACTCACTCTAATCCAGATTTTCCGATGGCGAAAAACAAGGAAAAAATACAGCCGGCATGCAAAAAAAACGCAATACTGTTCACGGCATCCTCCCGAAACGGTGCTCCTAAACACCCACGGCACGAGTATGTCTGTCTCCGTGCTTACAGAGACGCATATGAACGCTCGAGCTGTAAGCCTCGCCTCACATGTCAAAAGTTTTACGCCGCCGCCAGCGGAACGTCGATGCAGCTATCATCCGCCCCCTCTACACCTCACCTCACACCCTTCTTCATCCGTCAAGCTCACCGCCGCCGGTCGACCAATCTTTGCTTTAGTCCACTTCCTACGGCCAAAACATGGTCAACAAACCCGACTCTGCGACAGAACCCTCACAAGATGTCCTGGCCCCTGCCCGCCCCGACATGAAGAACAAAACAAAAGTCCTCATCCTCTCCACGCGCGGCGTCACCACCCGCTTCCGCCATCTAATGGAGGACCTGCTTAAAATCCTCCCGCACGCGAAGAAGGAGTCCAAGCTCGACTCGAAGGACCGCCTCCATGTCGCCACCGAGATTGCCGAGCTGCGCAACTGCGACCTCGTCATGCTCTTTGAGTCCCGCAAGCGCCAGGACCTCTACCTGTGGCTCGCAAAGTCCCCGTTCGGGCCCTCCATCAAGTTCCACATCGCCAATTTGCACACCATGGATGAACTCTCGTTTTCGGGCAACAATCTCATGCACTCACGCCCGCTGCTCACTTTTGATCCAGGATTCGATGAAACCCCGATTATGCGATTGGTCAAGGAAATCCTCTCTCAGACTTTCTCTGCTCCAGCGGGGCATCGACGCACGAAACCTTTTGTCGATCACATCATTAGCTTTTCGCTTGTGGATGGCCGCATCTGGTTTAGACATTACCAGATTGTTGATGCCGCGCTCGATGAGAAAGTCATTGATAAGAGCGTCGAGTCTACGCTCGTCGAAATTGGCCCGCGCTTTGTCATGGCCCCGATCAAATGTTTCTCTGGCGGCTTCAACGGTGCCACGTTGTGGGAGAATGGCGCCTATGTAAGCCCCAATGAGGTCCGACGCGCAGTCCGGAAAAGGGAGGGAGACAAGACACTGGGCAAGATGCATCAAAGGACCAAGCGATCCAAGCACGTTGAAGCGAATAAGATTGTTCATGACCCGATTCACAAAGTTTTTCGGTAATCCACTTAAATACTGTACTCAAACTAAATCATGCCCCGCACACTAATACTACCTCGGTTTACAACCACATGGAACAGACGACACTAATTGATCAGGGGGATCCCCTGCATGAACAGGGAGAGCGATTGCGCCATCCGCTCCGGGTACTCATCGTGCACCAGCGAGCCGCATTCGTGCACGTCAAGCCATGACGAGAGCTCGGGGTTGAAGAGATGGAAAGCCTCCGCTGCGTGATGGTGCAGCGTCGACTCCTTTCCTGTGGCGACGAGCACTTTGGCCTTAATCTTCTTCAACTCGGCGGAAACGTCATCACGCCAGCTGTCTGCCGCCAACAGACGGGTCAAGTTGGTGGGATTGAGGCGATCCAAGCCATCCTCCAGGCTCTGTACCAGGGTGGGATTCTCCTCCCTGGAGTCGTCCTTCAACCAGCGCCCCAGAAAACGATCCTTGGTCCTGCGGCTAAGTCCGAGCCCGAAACCGCGACTGAGCATGCCGTCGGCGCCCACGGAGACCTTCTCCAGCATACCCGACGGCTCGAGCAGCGGAGAGACCAGGATGAGCCCTGCAAATACATCATTGCGGCGCAGAGCAGCGCGCACGAGCACAGCCGCGCCGATGCCCACACCGAAACCGATGGCTCTGGTAAGCAATAATTCACCGTTCTCGGCAGGCTACATCGGAACCCGTCAAAAAACCATCGTGCGGCGCAATATCAAAATGATCAAACTACCCGGCTCATGTCCGGGGGCGGTCAGATGGTAGTGCGCGCTGGCAGAGTCGAGTTCCGGACAGGCGGCCTCCGGGGTGCGGCAGAAGGCGAAGAAAGAGGCGAAGCAGGAGGCGGCGTTCATGCCGACATCGTGGACGGTGATGATGGGCGGATGCAGGGACTTGTTGGTCGGCGTCGGGTGTTGATGGACGTCGATATGGGCGGGGCCGATGCGGTGCGAGGTCGACTTCCAGCCGGCGGGGATGTGAAGCGCAGACGAGGCGCCCACGGACTCGACGGCGATATCAAGGGGGGTTTCCGCACGCATGTTTGTGGAGCAGTGAGGCGGTGGTAATACTTTTTGCGTCGGGTTGTTAGCGGTGGAGAGTGCGTTTTATGTGAAATTGTTGTAGCAGTTAGAAGAGGGAAGCATCGCTAGTGCGGAAACACGGTTACACATTCCTTAAAAAAAAAGTCGTTGTGGGAGGGATGATGCGTTTTGATCTGGCACAGATCAGATGGGAAATTTTTTTCGCAGATGCAGTTTTTCGATAATTTCCCGTCTGCATTTCCGATCTCCATGACCATGACATGTGCTCCACCCCTCCTCTTCGCCACTCAAACCAGCGCAGAGAAGCATCTCTAAATGCTTCCACTCGCGCTGTTCTCTCCGCATATCTTTTCCCGATTGCCATCGGCAACCGCATCTATCCTCTCAGCAAAGAGCTTCTCCAGAGCAATGGCTACCCTGTGGGCAGAGGACACCCACGCCGTCATAAATCTCGGCAAGGTACATACATACCTTCCACTGCGTCCTCCTTTCCCCCCGCCCCAAAAGAAAAAAATCTGAATCCATCCGTGTAACCTAACCACTTCTTGCGCTTCTACGTTCCACCGTTCCCTCGCAGGGCCACCCTAATCCCCGCTTGCTCCCCCTGCAAGCCGTTAACGACGCCTACAGCAACGCCTCCGTCGCCCCAGATGCGGCCGTCACCCTGCTGCAGTATGGCCGCATGCAAGGCAACCCCGACTTGTGTGCTTCCATAGCGCGCTGGACGGCCGAATCGTGCGACAACCGCCCTAACCTACCATCTGCGGACGACATTGTAATCACCACCGGTTCGGGTCCGGCCCTGAGCCTCATTATGCAACTCTTCACCAACCCTGGCGATACCATTCTTGTCGACTCACCAGGCTACTTTTTAGCATACTATTCCTTCGAAGATTGCCGTGTCAAACCCATCCCTGTGCCCACGGATGCCCATGGTTTAGATGTTGACCGCGTTGAGGCTTTGCTCAAGGAGGGGGTCAGACCATCCATGGTGTATACCGTGCCTATCGCTAACAATCCCACGGCCGCGGACATGTCCGAGGAGCGGAAGGAGAAACTTGTCCAGTTGGCGCGCGAGTATAAATTCAAGATTGGTATCTTTTTTCCTCCTGTTTCTTTTTCTGCTTTCCGAACCATAGCTCCACGCGTGTACTGACTGTGTTCGTAAGCGGTGCGTGTGCAATTTATTGTCCAGCGGCTGATGAGGTGTACCAGTTTCTGAAATTCGGCACCTCGAAAGTTCCGAAGAGCCTTTTCGAATACGATGACCCTTCAGACCCGGTTGTATTCTCCATCAACTCCTTCAGCAAGTTGCTTGGCCCAGGCATGCGCTTGGGCTGGCTCACCGCCCACAAGCCCTTCATTTCCCGCATATTGGATTGTGGTGCGTTGCATTCTGGCGGCGGGTTTAATCCGCTCACCTCAGCTGTAGTCTTGCAGCTTTTCAACAACGGCTTCATGGATGAACACATCGCCTTACTGCGCCGAGAGTACGGAGCGAGCTGTGTTGCCCTCTGCAAGGCTGTCGAGGAGCACCTCGTGCCCGCTCTGAAGCCAGATGAAAAGCTACAGTATCACACGCCCAGGGGCGGGTTCTTTTGTTTTATCACCCTGCCAGAGCGCTATGACGCGGACAAGCTCCTAGTGCAGTGTAAGGAGAACGGCGTGTCGTTTTTTGTTGGCAAGCACTTTTCTCCTGCCAAAGACTCCTTTAAAAGCAGTGTTCGATTATGCTTTGCGTGGTTGGAGATTGACGCATTAGTGGAAGGCGTCCGACGTCTCGGAAAGACTGTGAAAGAGTTCTCATAGTTAGGATGAGGCCGCATAATCCATGGCGTCGGGGCGATCTGAGGTGCACCAGTCTGGTGACGGCTTCTCGTCGCGTGCGTGAGGGCGGAAAGCACTGTGAGGGTTTGGAAGTTCCTGCCAAATCCCTGCGGGTTCACTTATGTGCGGCTCGCGCAGGCCGTGCAAGCTTTGAATTGAGTGTTCACGTCTCCCAAGCACATGGAAATGAATTGAACCAGATGTCTATTTTTGTCTGGAGTCTGGACATGGACAGTAAAGAGATCAGGATATTCATACCCCGGGATACTACTGCAGTTGCCAGCGAGCTTGAACTTGCATGCAACACTGCTTTCTGCGCCGAAAGTCACCTTCGGAACACGGCTTTTCAACTACCTATGAGGGAGTGCCAAGGCATGAGTTTATTCTCTATGCAAAGATAGTTGACCGTGCCTCGGAACAAAAGGAAAGTAATAGCTTGTATCCCGATTTACGGCTCTTCCTTCCTCTTGTTCCGAGGCACCGTCAACTTTCTTTGCATGGAGGAGATGAAAGGAGTCTTTGAAATCACCAAGCCGTTGCCTACCGGCCCATGGATGCGTGGTCAGTTGTTGGACATTATTCCCCCCTTAGCGAATATCTGTTGCAGGCTCCAAAGGTTGTATGACAGCCTCTCGGAGAAAGGAAATGGATATTCTATCGCAACTCGGAAATTACCTTTGCCACAGGGAGCAGGACAATTAGGGCAACTAACCACTATCGTGAACTAGCACGGCAGCGAACAATAATCGTGTAATAAAGAGAGGCCGAGGGGGTGTGCTGCAGCTCTGAGCGCGCACTAGTTGCATCTAGTGAACTTAGTTCATGTTCTACAAGTTAGGGCAGTTACGATACAAGCGCATTCAAAAACTTGGGCAGGAGCATCTCCGGCGGCACGACGGCTCTATCATACTCCGGGACAATCGAATCGGAAAAGCGTTTCATCCATGGCACAAGCAGCCTTCCGGTAGCCTCGAGACCTTCTCGCTCGTCAACACCATCCGAAAAGCAAACTACGTACTTGCGATCCCACATCACCAAGACAAGCTTCTGCGCCGGAAACCGCGCGACAAGCCAGTCCTCCCCCCTCGACACCAATCGCGAACTCATGCTCATATCGCCTCGGTCCCATCGAAATAGAGTTTCCATGACGGCCACCCCCAGTACATGCGTAAACGACCCCACCGTGCCGCTAATCCTATCCTTGCTGAGCACAATCACTCCCTGAATAGCATACCTCACCTTGGAGTGGGTCTCAAGCTTCATATCTTCTAATTTCCAGGGGCGCTCCATACACACCAGCAAATCCCTGGTCGCGCTCTTTCGATCGAGGGCCTCTTCCACGAAGTCCAAGAACTTTTCCCCTACTTCCTCCCCATCCTGAGCCGACTTTCGCACAAGGCCCATGATCCACACGACACCGCCGCCTGCTGTGTTCCACTCCGGTCGCCAGCGCGCTCCCCCTACGGCCATTTTGAACGGTTCGAAATCGTCCGGATCTAAACGCAGCTGCACCGCGCGCATAACTACCCTCGAAGCGACCGCAAAGTCGTCCGCCTGCAAATAGACACGCGGCGGCGGCTGCGGACGCGTGTCTGCGCGCAAAGGAGCGAGGTTGAACAGCAGCAAGACGTCCATCGGGGAGAGCTCGTGGTGTTCCGATGCAGCGGTGGCGATGAGGCGGCGCGGGTATGGCGGGGTGGCGGTGAAGATGAGGGCGTGCGTGAGGACATGACGCCAAGAGAGGAGGGCTTCGCGCAGGATGTGGGCGACGGCGGCGCGGGAGGCGGGGGCGATAGGGCACGGGAGGGAGACGGGAGCAAGCACGAGGTGCGGGAGCGGGTGGGCGAGGGCGTCATGTACGGCGGCGCGCAGCAGGGCGTGGGTCGGGGCGAGGCGGTGCGCGAGATGGGCGTTTGGGTGGGCCTTGATGAAGCACGGGAAGTCGGCGGAGAGGGTGAAGTGTAGGGCGGCCAGGGCGATGCGGGCGAGGCAGCGCAGGAGGGAGGGGGAGACGGAGGGCACGGGGGAGGAGACGTGCAGGTGGAAGGGGGCTTGGACGAGGGAGATGAGGACGCCGTGCGGGGTGCGGACTTCGCGCGGGTGCGAATGGGTGAGGTGCTGGAAGGCGGTGGCGACGGCGGAGAGGGGGGCGAGGGATTGGGGGAGAGGGTTGGTGGGGGGGTGGTGGAGATGGAGGAGGGGCTTGCCGGCTGGGGTGGAAACCAGAAGAAAGAGAGGCAGCGAGGGGGTCGGGCGGGTCATTTCGGGGAGGTCGTGGTGAGGGGAGGGGGAGTTCATGCGGGCCCAGAACAGAGTGTCCGCGGAAGGAGCGGGGGGTGGGGGTCATAGTTGAGGATGAGACGGTTGCGTCACGTCATGTGTGGATATGGTGCCGAGTTGGTTGCGACCGAGGTGGAGGATGGGGAAAGGGAACGGGGATGCGGATGGGGACAGGTACGAAGATGTGGCTGATAGACGTGGCTGCGATGTCCAGGAATTGAGAAATACTGTAACAGGCAATTGTATTTTATAATTCCTGTAGTACGTACGTACCCTGTACGGCTCTCTTCCCTTCGAGATCCCCCGAGCCAAAGACAGGCGAGATGTGGCAATTCCTGTCGCTAATCGTGTCGTTCGGGTCTCCCTTCGCCCTGTTGCGGCGTGCGCGGGAGCGACTGAACGGGGAGAGCAGCGGCGGGAGAGTGCGTGCTTGGACGACGCGGAACTCGGAGACGGCGCACTTCAGCCGTGCAGACGCGCTGCAGGTTGACATATGGGGGTCGAATCGGGGCTATCTATCGTTGGACGCGTGGAAGGAGCAGCGGGAGAAGCTGGGGCGGGAGCCGGTCAAAAGCGGGGTGCGCGGAGATCCGGAGCGGCGGATGTTTTTGCTGGAGGAGCTCGACGGCGGGGAGACGCTTGACGGAGCGGGGCGGCGGCGCAAGGCGAGCCGCAACGCGAGAGCGAGGGATTTGGTGACCGAGGAGGAAGTGCGGCGGATGTTTCGGTGACGAGGATCGTCATTGGTCATTGCGGGGAGAGGGCCAGGGTGTGCATGAGGAGGAGGAGGGAGGGGAAGCCGAGGAGGGCGGTTTGGGCGATCCAGGCCGTGAAGAGGGAAGGGTGGGCGCGCGAGGCGGCCGAGCGGGCACGGGTGAGGAGGACGGCGACGTAGAGGGCCTCCAGGGAGTGAACGATGAAGGTGAAGATGGCAGCCATGCGCAAGGGAGGCACTGGGAGCGGGAGGATGGCGACGAAGGCGGCCGGCCACGGGGGTCTGGCAG